TTACATGTGTTGTGATACTTACCTAAAGTCCTCCGCCCCCGAACGTTTCCGCCGTTCAGGTTTGGGGGTGTGACACCAGCACACCAAGGTAGGAGAAAGGTAGGGAGGCCGCATCACAACCAAGCACCCATGCACAACTAGCCACTTCGTTATTGGAGACCCCAATACCGAAAACCTTGGATTTATTGAAATTGACTTTTAACCCTGAAGCAGCATGAAAGCATTTTAAAATTCTCGCAAGATTAGATACATTAGATCTACCCCATTGCCCAATAAAAAGCGCATCATCAACATAAAAGAAATGAGAAATCAACAGACCATTATTTGGAATTTTCACCCCTTGATACAAGGAAAGATCACAAGCTGATTTCATCGCCTTGACGAACACCACGAGTAATCTGAAATTCTTTAGTAGTCGAGCCATTGATAATAACGGAAGCTCTTGAGGAGGATAAACACCCCTCTATCCACCGGATCCAAATATCACCAAACCCCATTTGCTTCATAACCGTAAACAAATATTTCCAATTAATACTATCAAAAGCCTTGTCGAAATCCACCTTGAATAAAAACGTTTTATTTTTGAATTTTTTAGCCCAAGAACAAACTTCATTAATGATCAATGGACTATCATGAAGCAACGACCTCCTATAAAAGCTGTTTGGACCTCATCAATCACAGTCCCAATAACCTTCTTTAATTTGAGGGAAAGATCCTTGGCAATAATCTTGTAAACACTCTCAATGAAACTAATTAGCCGGAATTCATGAAGCGACAGTGAGTCCTTCATCTTGGGCAAGAGAGTTATAAATGATGAATTACTCCCTCTAGAAAGGCACTCGTAAGCTTCAAAATGTTTCACAAATATCATAATATCATCGTGCATAAGGGGCCAAAAGTGCTTGAAGAAAAATGAAAGTAAACCCGTCTGGGCCCGGTGCCTTGTCACTTCCACAATTCCAAATGGTTTCCATGATTTCGTTTAAATCAAACGGAGCCTTCAAGAAACCCCTGTCAGCTTCAGTGAGAGTTTTGAAGTTGGGATTAATAAAAGTTGGTCTATCCTGACAATGCTCATGGAATTTAAGTCCGAAGAAACGCCACACTTCTGTTTTCATAGTCGATACATCAGTGACCCAGCTCCCATTAATCATAAGCCCTTGTATATTACCTCTTCTGTTTTTAATCTTCAACGAGTTGTGAAGGAAAGCCGAATTTTCACCGCCATCGCACATCCATTTTATTCTAGCTTTCTACTCCAAGTCTAATTTCGCCTTTTCCATTTCAAGGATTTTATGCTTAGCATCTCTTATGCATGCAATTTCAGCGTCAGTAAGACAACGCCCTTCGGCCTCAAGTTCAATCTCATCCACCCTCTTTCTAAGATCAAGAAGCAACTTCGTTTCTTTTTCGAATTCAACTCTCCTCCAAGCTTTATTTGCGTCCTTGATACATCTCAACTTGTCAGACAAATATCTATCTGGAGCACCACCACCTTGAAAACCATTCCAGGCTTTGATCACAATATTATCGAAGTCATCCCTGAAAATCCAGGAATTAAAGAAACAAAAAGGGGCAGGGCCAAAGTTCAAAATTTGCGTTCTAAGGATAATAAGCCAATTGTCCGAGTATTCTGTACGAAGAGCCAAGACCGACGCATTAGGAAACACAGACAAGAATTTGGGGCAGACTAACAACCGGTCCAATTTGCTAAGTTTACACCTGTCATCACATAAATATGTAAATTTCCTGCCTTCCATATTAAGCTCTAATAAATAAATTCTTATCCCAAAAGGAGATAAGCCCCCTGTCTTCCAGTGGATTCCACGAACGCAATACCCACGTCAGGAGATCCCCACCAGTTAGCAATATTACATGGAAGTGAGGATAATCTTGACTCTTGAATCCCGCAGAAAGAAATTATGTTCTCGAACTTTAATCTCCTAAGGGAGAAGGGAGTCATTCCCTCCCAACCCATTGAACCCACTGCCACATCATTTTTTCTTTTTTATTTTTCTTCATCTTTCCGAACCTACAACACACAGAAATCCTATCTTTTTGAACCCACTCAATTAAAAAAAATACAAAACAATCAAATGTAAAATCTTAATTAGCAATAGAGTTATCGGCGGTACCACTCCCGCTTCAACGAGTGAGTTGATTGGTTTCACTAACCCACTTCATCATCTCTCTCTACTTTCTTTTTTCTTATTTTCTCTTGTACCATGTGTTTTAAAACTTGTACCTTAGTTGTTTTGTATTTTTTTTAATTGAGTGGGTTGTGTGGGTTTAAAAAGATAGAATTTCCGTGTGTTGTGGATTCAGAAAGATAAAGAAAAATAAAAGAAAAAAAGTGATGTGACAGTGGTTCAGTGGGTTGGGAGCTCTCGAGAGGACGAGATCGAAACTGAGATAGAATGACCCGGAGAATCAGCTTCATCACCTACCTGAGTTGATAGTTCGGGGTGTCGACTTTCCTATTAAGATCAATAGACTTCGAATTCTCCTGCGATTGCCGTTGCATCTGTCGATCATTATAACACGAGAGAGAGTTAAAAACTTTTTTCTTCGATCCTTTATTTTTCCTCTTAAGTCGACGCCTTTTCATACCAGATTCGCTTGGCCCAAATTCCGGACAGCTGGACCCGTTAGCAATTGAATTACTACGATACGCCCAGGAAAACCAGGCCCATCAACTGATTTGGAATGGGTGGAGATATCAGCCCTCTCGGGAGAAGACCCCACTCTAGGGGAGTCAATGCAATTGGCATTGCCTTTGGAGTCAACGCCAGCCGCCATGCCGTCATTGCCTCTCAGCTTTCTAGGCGACGAAACAAAATCCTTATGCACCGGCGACGCCTCAGCTTCCCCAACTCCGTCACCGCTCCATCTCCGTCACCATCATCGTTGTGCCTGATCTCACCTTCCTCCATCTCCATCTCACAGTTCACCCAAGTATCCGAGATGCCGACATCATCGTCATCTTCCTCCACATCCGAATCGACGGGAGACTCCGCCACGAAAGGCTTGAAAGGAACCCAATCATCTTCCACTTCGAAAATTCCAATTTTATAACCAGCTCCATCAAAGTTTACCATAATCTCTTCGTTAATCTTTTTCCTGGAGGCAGTTAAAATGCAAAGCTTGCAAAAGGAAGCATCATTGTTGCCCCAGAATGAGCAATTGTTAACCAACACTCTCCCGAAGTTTCCCGCAACCCATGCCATGAGAACACCAGTTATTTTTATACAAGTGATCATTTCGAACCGGACAGATCTTCTTCCCAGACGCTCAACCCAGTTGAACCATTTTTTCCATATACATTTGTTGGCCTTAAACACGTCCGCCGCCGTTTCAGATCTGAATTTCACTAAAACTTGCATGCCTCCCAAGTATTTCGTCTCCATCACATCATAACCTTCCCAAGAGATTAATGCAGGAAAATTGCATAACGTATCAAAACACCTTGCATCTCCAACCAATACAGAGGCATCTGCCCAATCATGCACACTGAGATTAAGAGACATTGAAGCATGAGCCTCACCCGCATAAGGAGTGCCAATACCTTTGCCTACCTCTACAAACGAACGCGCATCCCTATGAGCAGAGGAAAAACGATTCATTGCAGCATCTGCAGGCCTTTTAGAAACATCAACCGTCACTGCCTTAGGGTGCTTGGCACAATTTGCAGCCACCTTCCTCCCCCTACAAGTAATTTCATTAAGCTCCTTCTCGATGCCTTTCGGATGAAGAACATTCTTAAAACCGACAAAAGCGAAGAAGGTACCTGAAGCATCCCTACGATCGGCGATATAGATATCAACCAAAGCTCCGACCTTTGAGCATGGCTTCCAAAGCTCCGCCTTCTTGACATCACCGCGAAGGTTGGTAACAAAATACGTAGTGATATTACCCTCAAGCTTCCCCTGAAATTTCCTTACAGACGAACCTTTTCGTCGAACTTCTCTCCATTCTCCTGCCATCGGCTCTTCTTGGGGCTTTTCGTTCATAAAATCCCATACTATTTAATAATATGATATTACGAGAAATTAAATGTCCTTTTATTTTTATTTTTTTATATTCATTATTCATATGGAATATTATCTTTTTATCTCTATGAAATGATGAAAAGTGTCATAGATAAAGACAAATGCAATTGGTCCTGTGCTTGCCTCTGTGGGTAAAGTCCAAGAAAAAGATTGCTAGCAAAAAAAGTCTTATTTGATGTTTGAGTTGTGGATTTGGTCCCTACCTCTAACATACACGCATTCCGTTTTCTTCCCATGTGCCCTGTTGGTTTGAAAGCAGACCAAATGAATCAAGCATTTCATGATCTATTGACATTTTTCTTTCTTAAAGTAACTTGTAATCAATTCGATTTAGAAACAAATTCATAATAAATACATACATATGTGATCAGTTGTGAGGGGTAACATATGATAGTTGACGATAATCATACTTGATGAGATTTGATTTAGGATTGCTTCTTTGACTAAGTTCAAGAAGCCATGAAGTTTCAGTCTGGAGGCCAGTAGAGGTTCCTGCAATAGTACCATGGAACAATCAGGACAAAGACAAAGTTCACGCACTGATGTATATTGTAGATAATGTAAATGCTACAGTGGCCAATTTCAATTAAACTTTAGATCCAAAAATTTTATATGTGAAAGAATTTTAAGGAGAATATAAAAAAACTAACAAATCAATTAAACTTTAAAAGAAAAATAATTTTATTGGTTATATATATTTATATAAATCCATATAAAAATGTACAAATTGAAAGTACATTGATATTTACCACGTAAATATGAAAAACAAAATGCAACAAATAGCCATGGATTTTGGTTTTTGGTTAAAAAAAATTAAAGAAAATTACAAAAAATTCAAGTTTTTTGTTGGCTTTTTGTTAATGTATTACCAAGTATGCTCCAATAGAAGAATTGACAAAAACTACAGCTTAATGATAGTATACCAATAAGTGTACGAATGCCAAGTGAATACCTGAGTTCATCTTTTAGTCGTGATATATGTTTTCTAGTGAAGCAATGCCACAAATTCGCTATGGGTACCACAATAAGAATCAAAGCCAAATCAAATGAGCTTGGCTTTTGTAAGTATAACAAATAGTGCCCAAGTCTTAATTCTTAATTAAGAGGAACTTCAGGAAACCCAAAGAAAAGGAAGGGAAGTATACATCCCATAACAGTTTTATTGATACATCTTTTGGAAAAAGAAAACAAAGACCAGAGAGTCGAGTCCCTCACTGGAAGAATACCTTTTCAAATAATTACCCATTTGACCTCTTTCATTACCCCTCGTTCATGATCCAGACCTCCATCAACACTAATATATATATATATATATATATATATATATATATATA